AGGGAACAGTTCCACGAGTTGTCCCCTCCTTGGCAGGGAACAGTTCCACGAGTTGTCCCCTCCTTGGCAGGGAACAGTTCCACGAGTTGTTCCCTCCTTGGCAGGGAACAGTTCCACGAGTTGTCCCCTCCTTGGCAGGGAACAGTTCCACGAGTTGTCCCCTCCTTGGCAGGGAACAGTTCCACGAGTTGTCCCCTCCTTGGCAGGGAACAGTTCCACGAGTTGTTCCCTCCTTGGCAGGGAACAGTTCCACGAGTTGTCCCCTCCTTGGCAGGGAACAGTTCCACGAGTTGTCCCCTCCTTGGCAGGGAACAGTTCCACGAGTTGTCCCCTCCTTGGCAGGGAACAGTTCCACGAGTTGTTCCCTCCTTGGCAGGGAACAGTTCCACGAGTTGTTCCCTCCTTGGCAGGGAACAGTTCCACGAGTTGTCCCCTCCTTGGCAGGGAACAGTTCCACGAGTTGTCCCCTCCTTGGCAGGGAACAGTTCCAGGAGTTGTTGGAACAGACTCCTGAACGTATTCTCCTTCTAACAGAACAATCTGCCGTAGGAGTGGTCTATTAGCTGAGGCTCAGCTCAGCCCCTCTTCAACGTATTTATTGTCCCTGTATTAGCAACACCCACGTGATTGTTGCCACGCCCTGACGCAGATGTGTCGTGTGCAGGTACGCCTCTACGACCCCCGCGTGCGCAGGCGCCCTATGCTCACCTACAAGTACGAGGACTCGCCCCTGACCACCGTCACCCCTGCCTACAGTCACGAGAGGTGTGCATCCTGCGTAGTGGTCAACCAAATACTTTTTGTAAACAAACTCATTTTTAATTCTCTGGTCTAGCTCAAAATTTTCTTCAATCTATGTATGATGATGCCTATATCCATGATACTCTAGGGATGTGTATACTCATTGAACTAAGACAGGAAGAGTCTATCAAGTTTCTGCCTAGCCACTTTGGCCCTTTGCCATCATTGCATCCCTTGTGCCATGGGATCGTGGCATTGAGTTGCGTGTGACGGTCTGGAATTTTATTTGCAGATTATTAGTAGTGTTAGTAGTGTTATTCTATCAATATTTTTAAGAATCAAGTGTCATGTTATTGTTATAAAACATTGAGACGGTGTCATTTATTATTGCTAGCACTCCTCCACTTCTGGCTACTCTCACGTTACAATGCCGAACCCATGCCTTCGAACCATTAGTCGAACCCATGCCTTCTACTGTACTGACATATGTTTATATGGACCAAATAAT